CACACACACACACACACACACACACACACACGCACACACACACACACACACACGAGTGTATTCATATCCTTGTGGGGAAATCTCACTGACACAATGCTTTCCTTCGCTGCTTACCCTAATCCTACCCATAATGCAATTGTAACGCTGACACTAAAACCACATTTTGAGTCTCAAAAATGCCTTCAAACTTTTGGGGGCTGTTGGTCCCTGTAAGTATAGTAAACGTGCACATTACCACCGTTACAGTGGGTTTAAGGAGCAGTGCCAAGGGAGGCTGACCAACACAGCTGATGCCCATATTCTAATCATGCTCCCTCTATTTTAGTAGCACCCAGGACCTGAAGAGGAAGAGGAGCACAAGCAGCTGAGCAAGAACGACACCAAAGGATGACTGTTTGAAAAAAAACCCCAAAAAAAACAAACCCAAAACACTAAGACTCAACCATGAGCCCATCGGTGTGTCAGTTTGTTTACATTTGTTTATACTGTTAGCTTTTTATTTGTTTCTGTGGAACTGTTTCTACATGCTGCTAACAGGCTGCTTCTAATCCCATGAAACATCTGATGTTTAATGATGATAAAAGGACAAATCCACGTCCAGCTTTAACATCACGCTGGGTTCTTGGCTAGCTTAGGATTAGCATGCTGTCGGTGCAGGTGCTTGCAAAAATGCAAAGTTGTGTTAGCAGAATAATGCACAAAGTTTGCAATTTACAGTTGCACTCTTGTCTTTTTGTGCAATAAAAATAAAAGCAATGTCCACATCCACGCTGTAGATTGCACCATTATTTTCCTCCAAATACATTTTTAGTCCACATGACAAAAATCTGCTGATTACAGTACAATTGCAAAAAACAACAAGCAGAATCAATCGGCAGGCACACTAACAATTCCAACGAATTCAAATACTTGGAATTGGTTCTCTACAAGCACCGCTTCACAAATACCATCCCTAACAGGAACCATCATGGAAGGACAGGCCTCTCCATGGCATGCACCACCAGCTGACTAAAAACTCCTACAAGTGGTTAGAGAAGGCTGGACTGAAAGACAGCACAGAGACATTAATAATGGCAGGACAGGGACAAGCTCTGAGCACAAGATCGACAGAGGCAGGAGTCTACCAGGCAAGACCTGTGCAAATATGACCCTGAGGCAATCAGCACATAACAACATCAGAATCAGAATCAGAATCAGAATCAGAAAGGGTTTATTGCCAGATGTTGAGCAGGTTTACAACATTAGGAAATTGCTGCGGTGCTTCAGTGCAACATACTGTCATAAAAATATAAAAATAAGAATAAGAATAAGAATAAGAATAAGAATTAAAGTGCTAAGTGGATAGATATATACATGATATATACATGTTAGCAGGCAGCGCATACTTGGAACACCAGGACCAAGTGCTTGAAATGCTTCTAAAATTCCCAAGATGTGGAACTCATGTTATGACAAGGCATGAGTTACTCTATCCATGTGGAAGCTACAGACACGTACACGTGCACATTTACCTCCTTTTTCGTTTGTTAAGCTGCTGGCAGACGTTGGCCCACCGAGCGTTCAGTAATTTGAGCTGTGATTGAAGCTGCAAAGCATCATCTGGTGTGCTCATCTGGCTTATGTCCACCCCTGCAGAGTTCACTCTGCCCAGCACCGCTTCCTGGAGGGGTATTTCCTCAGTCAAGTCCTGTGACACAGTAGATTATTACTGATTAATTATTTATTGATTTCAAGTGAAAATTATAGACAGAGATCCAGGTGGAATTTGAAGATTTCCCACAGTGTCGTTGACACTATTCAACAACAAACGCTCAAATTTACCTTTAATTTACAGGTTATATTTGTGCAGTTACATTTTCTCGAAAAGGAAAGGTTGTGTATGCGTGTTTTACCCTTAGGTGCTGTCTGTGTGCTCCTGGGTCACTCTCGGCCAGTTTCAAAGTCTCCTCAGCATCGTTCAGCCACTCCTCAAGCTCCTTCTGTTCCGAAACAAACTTCTGCCACTTGGAGTTACAATCCTGCCAACGCCTTGACACACACACAGAAAAATGTTTATTTACAATTGTGCACAATGTTTGAAATATGCATGTAAGCACACACACATAATACCACGTGTGCACATAAAACACACACAAAGGCAAGCATGCGTGCAGAAACGCACACACGTGCAGGACTCGCAGTATACAGGGAACCACCCTTACTTAAGCCTGTCCTGGTAGAGCTTGTTCAGTTTGCCCCAGTTGATACTGAGCAGGTTGACAGACTCCTGGATTCTTTGGCCCTCCAGAGGTCGAGCACCAGACATCATCTCCTTCCTGTGAGCCAGTACTCCATCGACGGGACCTCGCAGCTTGTCAATGTTCCCCTTTACGTCCTGCATGTGTGGAGGATAAGATTATGGTGGAAAAATACCAACATGTGACTGAGGAGAGTACACTGTCTGGTGTGAAAATATTTCGAATTGTTCTCTTAACACGATACATTTTAGAAGAAAACCCCAAAATAGAACAGAATATAATTTCCACATCCCAATTATGCACCATTTTATGTTACATAAAATCCCAAAAAGTACATCGAAGTTTGTGGTTTGTTGGGATTTAAATAAATATATTCTTAGTGCTTATTGTCTGATTATATCGTTTTATGTATGCCAGACCCACACGAGAACTATGTTAAGGGTGACAAGTTGCCCTGGCAACAGACTTTAGAAAGAGGAAGTGCAAGTTTGAGTTAGACCACTCTGAGCCGTGTCTTTCTTTGCCGTTAACAAATACAAAGAACTGGATTTAATAGGTTGTAATGTGACAACCAGTTCAAAGGGTGTGGATACTTGTTCAAAGGACTACAGCAGCTCGAGTTGCTACTTGAGAAAATACTGCATTTATATTCATTATTACAACAGCTTCTTATGTTACAGGACGCACATTTTCCTGTTTGGTACGTAGTCATAGAAACTATGGTACACAGTAGGGATGCACCGATACCGATACTGTAAAATGTGTGTGTACTCATACTCGTAAAAGTTAACCGATACCATGAACCGATACCAACTTATTTCATTAGTCAGAGGGTGGCTGGTCATTTCTGTTGTAGTTTTTTAGATTGGCCACTAGGGGGACATCCCGCGCTAAACAGGCACAGGGTTAGGCGAGTGAGACTGGCGGCTCCAGATAAAAAAGAGAAACTGGAGGCTGCTGTAGCTAGGCTAAACAAAATGTCAGCAGTGTGGACCGGAACAGCCAACTTTAGCTCAGGTTTTGAAAAAAGCGATGAAAAATGTCAAGAGAAAATCCACGGGCAGTTAAAATAACAGAGGCTCTGACTCATTTTATCGCTCTGGATGACCAGCCAATGCCAGTCGTGGAAAACATAGGATTGCACCGTCTTCTCAGCGTACTCGTACTCGAGCTGCAATATGAAATTCCCAACCGCCCAGACATCAGGGAGATAATGGTGCCAAAACTTTCTGAAGAGGTAAAGACAGCAGTGTGTGCGCGATGTCAGTCCTCAGTTTAACGGCACAGTGGACTGTTGAGGAGTTTGTTCGTCAATACCAAATACTTTCATTATTTTGTTTGTTTGTTTGTTTACAATATGGACACTCTGCAATAATTTAAAAGTTTATTTTATTCTCAAACCTAAGTTGTATTTATTTTATTCCAAACAGAAGTGTTTTTTTATTATTCTGAAAGCTGGAGACAGTGCCAATAGTTCAGTGATATTTTGTTAAATTACAATGTGGAGACTCTGCAATAATTTAACAGAAGTGCTTATTTTTTACTTGACATTTTTTTGTGGTCATTTTTATTATTTATTTTTTTACCGGCAGAGAATAAAATAAAACCTGTCTTCCAATTCATTGCATTTGTGTGTGTGTGTGTGTGTGTGTGTGTGTGTGTGTGTGTGTGTGTGTGTGTGTGTGTGTGTGTGGTAGAAGTATCGGTTTTTGTACTC